AGGATTACCCCCCCACGTCCCGAATATCGTGACCGTACGTCGAGCGGTTAAGATTTGTGCCCAACTGTTGACGGACGGACGCACGGACGGACGCACGGACGGACGGACGATCATGCGATTCTACAAGCTGCATCTGACTATGTCAGATGAGCTAAAAATGTAGTGTAATCGAGCTGTTTGACAAAAAATTGTTTATTTACAGGATACATGACAGCTTGGTCTCACGTACACGCTGGTCAAATTCACTAAAGGGGATGAACTGGAGAATTGACATGAAGGTGCAATCCCGAAGTGGGCAAGAGGTCAACGTACCCACAGCTATTATTGAACTACAAGTAGCTAATGAGCACACCTCCAAGGTGAGTCATCGATATCACACGTAACCTCAGTAATCTTGTTTATATTTTCAGGACACACATTGGTTAGTTAGTCTCAATTGCAATGAAACTGCAATTCTAGTTTCTTGTACCAAGAACTAGCTCCTATTATCGCAGCAACAACTTCCATTCTATTGCACCGGAATTAAATCCAGGAATTTTGAAAGCAATGGTTTGGCTGATGTGGGGTGAAGGGGGAACCCTTAGATTTTTATTGGGGAATACAGTTGCAATCCAATGGATTTTGGCTCTATATCTTCTACTCTGAATCACTATTCCATTTGAACTGAAAAGTATTTTTGCCATATACTGTAAAAATCAGGACTGAAGTCATGAAAAGGGAGAGGGTCATGATCTTGTGGATCCACCACCTGTACGTCCATTATTTTAGACTATTATGACCGACTTCCCACAAGGGCCAGCATTTTTACGCTTTCTACCCCAAGGTGGCACCACATACATGCTCATTCATTAGGACAAGTGGAACATTTTTTGGCAACCTATTTTTAAAAAGCCAAGCGTGCCTAACAATATCTCATTGCTTTTTAATGCTGGGTTAGGCCCACACATCTAAACTCTTCACAAATTTCTATTGCTGTACTCACTGATTATGTTGTCATTTTTTCCATGAATATTTCCTGGCAGGAGAATGAGGAAGGTGTACAGTTTGAATTGGATGCGACGCAACTGTCAAATATTCTTGAACGTCTCAACGATGCACACAACAGCATCAGAGCATTCCAGTCGAAGCAAGATCAGCCAGCCTGAAAGCAAGTCAGTGAGAACATTCCCTCTGCTCATGTGCAGTAGTCTTTCGGGGACAAAATATGAAATCGCATACGTGATCACAAGTGACAAGCATATGTGATGCAAGTCTTCGGACGTCTGGCTACGTTCATTAAGCACGCAGTAGGTGCGGATAGAAAAGGGTGCCATGTGAGGTTCTATTTTGGAAATCGGCACATGTGAAATGTAACGACACTACTATTCGTTTCTACTACTGACCACACTTGTCACTATAAAGATGATGACGTGTGTGCATATTTTATTATAGGCACGGCCATTTTTCGGTGTCTGCATATATTTTACATAACCATATACTAGTCTCGCGCTCCTGTAATAATAGTAACAGTTCAAATTTGCAAAAAAAAACTTCAAATGATTTTTCCGTGACAATCATTTACGTCTATTTTATACATAAGTTACTAGACTGTTGAATAACCAATAAAAATAGTGTCACTGTAATATAGGTACAACTAGTTAGATATTTCATCATGTCACAGATAATTTTTAAGCAAAACTTGTGGGCCCAGTGCAATTGATTATCGTTTAAATTTAATTTTAAATAAGTTATTAAGCATTGTTACTGCATTGGCAAATAACAAATGAACCTACTAATAAGGAAACAAGTTATGAACATATTGTGTAAATTCCTTTATTGATTCAATTGCTTTGACCATACATGATGAATACATGATACAGGCATCAGATTTTGTTGCCATGATACAGCCATCATTACTCAATAGGATTTATAAAATCCATCACCAGGTATTTAGGCATATTGCTAAATGACGATAGTTGGAGATTCTATCGCCAGTGCACTAACGTCATGGACACTGCATATTCCCTGCAAAGGTTAACTAATCCTGAGTTCTAATCCCGAATGCATGCTGTGGCTCATTATTATGAAAAGTGGTTCAAATGACAGTTGCAATTTGGTTTATGTAGTCACGGTCTCTATTCTTAATCCTTATTAAAATAATGATTTTTTCCCTTCCGTTTCAACTGAAAATCCATATGCAAGGGCTTATCATAATTGTTTTGCATTGCCAGCTAATGGAATGTGCCATTGGAATAGTTTATTAACTGACAATAAAAGTACTCGTTTATTCATGGATTCAACTTGCATATATTGTCAACTCCAGTGCTACGTTCAGGCTGCAATTTTGACAACAGATTTTTCTATTGCACTTAGAATTAGAGCACAAGTGAAAAACAAGCGTTTTAATAAGACCTTGGAGTAATCATTCTGACTGACTGGAGTAATCATTCCGACTCCATTCCATAATTGTAAGGAACATCAATCAGAGATGATTCAGTCGATGCAAACGGCTCAATACATTACATGTATGTATGTATGTATGTATGTATGTATGTATGTATATATATATATATATATACAGCATTTACAAAATATATCTAAACTCAGAGAAAAACCATATCCGTCATGAATCATAGCATACTTGCTAATACACAATACAAAATACCCTGGAACCATACTTACATTGTTATACTTTGTTGTATCAGGCCGCTATAATTGACAGAATAGTTACACATTACTATTAGCCCACTAGCTTAATCACCAATTCATACTACTAAGACTACCACGATACACCTGCTGATTTTGATACAATATATACACGAGTTGCTGGGTACCGTAACTTTGAACACAGCTGCTACACCAAATAACTGTTAGTCTTGCCTGGGGTAACAGTTGGGGATAGGGATGGGGAAATCTGGAAGATGCTTTTAATTTCGAGTAAATGACAGATGACTATTCAGTGTAGTGGGTGTGTCAAAAGGTATATGGTACCCTAAATTGCCACACAAGGGGCGATTAAATCGGTCTGGACCTGTGTTCTCTTGCCACAACTGATATACGCATGTTTCTATAGAACCAATCTTGAGCAATGATCGCTTCCAGTCCAAAACTCGACCTCTCGTTTTGCCAGATCTACAGCTCAGAGTGACCATGCTTGCCAAGTGGATCCGAGCAAACTCCAAGATATCAATGGATATAATCAGAGCTCAGTCCTACTCTTTATCACCCAGTGATGGGTGTGAGACGATAGACCAACGACCGCATCAGGAGCGGTAGCATTTTTAACCGACGCAAGACCCGCTCATGCAATAGTAATTGTGGAGCTTTACCAAAAAACATCATATACCTCTGCTTCTGTTTAAAGGTAATCCGCTGTATTAGGTAATGACAGTTGTGAGATATGCTCAAATCACATGCATGCATCATACTGAAACTGAAACCATCACTATGTAAACATAAACCACCTAGCTCATTCTATAAACCTGCGCTGCAGGGTAAAGCGGCCAAGGGCTATAAATCACTATGTGACTGGATGTATAGTCTATAACTGCCAGCTAAGCTAGCCCAAAGACTGGAATTAAGCAGATTAAAGTGATTACGTCACCGTAAATAATAAAAAATGAAAAAAATATTTCCACTTTTTTACAAAATATAAGTAATTCTGTTCACATTTTATGGTTAAATTGCGTCATTATACTTCCTATTTTACTATAATAATTGTTTGATGTGAACATACACTCGTGACCCATACATAGCCCATAGCAAGCAATTAATGTTGAGAACATTAATTTAAATCGTCCAGGTTTTTTGGATTTTTAACTAGTTGAGAAACAATCTTATCAGGTAAGAATTTAACGATTTGCTTAGTCCCGTTAATTCTTACTTTTAATGTAAAAAAATGGCAATTTTTTTTTAAACAAATTTTACCATAGAAAATTCGTGACGTAGTCCCTTTAAGTAGTAAATTCGTTATATAGACAATCTTTACACAAGGAACTGTCAAGTCGTTATCAACTAACAGTAGTTACGTATGATATCATACATGGCAACCGTATTAAAAGACCATCTCATTAGAACTACTAACTCACGTTAATTTTTACATGTACATAATATTTATGTTTTGGAAACAGTCTTGATATAGGCTGCTTGTACTTGCTCTGCTTAAGCACTACACGAAAACTTTTAACATTTATATGTAGTTCCCTATATTCCATTGAATAGGACTGGGTTTTCCATGACGTTTGGTTACGAAAGATTTTTCAGAGGTAGTTGGTCTATTAGGCTTATCGGAGTCTAATCACTCTGAATTCTTACACAATCTATATATGAATAACATTAACTGTGCACACATGTAAATTCACCAACTGTGTGAATGGCATACCACATTTTCCTCGACACAACATGATCCATCCAGGAAACATATATTACAACTTATTGACAGATATATCAAGGAGACAAAGAGATGATAAAGGAACCATTTAAAAACTATAGGTTGCGATGGAGGACAGTTCTGTGTATACAGGCCTGTGGTGTCATCACGTGCAGGGTGAGAAATACACCCTACTAGGCCTGGAAATGCTGTACACTGTCCTGATCACTCACATCAGTTTTCGCTGGTCTGGAAAACTGCTATGTGAATAACCCACCACCAACAACCTTGCCCCTATGTGCATCTGACGACAGCAAGTACGTGTGCAAATAGAACACTCTACGCCCCTACGGCATAAACATGCTTCTTCGTTTACCACTCCCCAAATATTATTACATCATTTACTTTCACTTTAAAATTACAATCTACACTGGTAAACACCGACGTTACAAAATTCAGTATAACACAGTACAATCATGTATACAGACAACTGTCATGCGAACATCCTCAAATGAGATCGCAGCAACAGATGGTGCTAACACATATTCTACTCTGTACAGAAACACAGAAACGGTAATATTGAACTTATTTTTCACATAGTAATTCTAACATCAAAATGCCACGGGCAGAAGAATTCTGTATAAACACAATTGAGGAACACTAGAATTGACATGGCATCACAAGGGCATTATATCTGAGGACTTGGAACAGTCAACGACAAACATGATAATATGTTTCAAATCATGCAGAATGCAGAAAACTAGAAAATTCGAGGTCACAGTATGTACACAGTATCTAGCCTCATGAGATTTCAACATGGTTCGACTCCAAGCACTATTTCTTGTAGTACTCGCTCGAGAACATGGCAAATTGATTTTTGAGACTTCCCTCTTACTACGAAGCGGACATCTTCTGGAAAACCCAAGTCGTGAGTTGTGAATCGCTTCTCAGAAGGTGTCCTACAGTTTTGAATAAGTATGTAGGAACATTGCTTTCAAGAATTTAAACATCATTCTATCTCATTTGGGTACAAAATTAGTACCAGTGTGCTGTTACAGCACCACACCCTGGTAATATTATTGAATCTGCAGAACAGAAACTAGCTCAGAGTGATAGACAGCTACCCCTTTTGTCAGCAGCTCCACCCAATCATTACTGTGACACCTTGTCCTAAACGTACTTATTTAGGGAGGTACTGACGTGGAGGCGTTTAAATGTTTTAACATAATATACAGCGTGCCAACAATCCAATGACCACGAACACTCACATTCGCTAGTTCAGTTCATGGTACAACGAGAGCCAACTAAACCCCAAGAGATAGGGGGTAGAGAAGTATGTGTCATGACATTTGGGTGATGGTAGTACTTTCTACAACACACACACACACACACAGACAAGCCAGTGATGTGTTTACCCAGTACGTGCCACCGGCAACATTCATGAACCAGCAAATTCATGAATAAAACCGCTTCACCGGCAGCACGACAACAGTCGCTTGAAATCGTATCAAAAGTTCTGACCCGCAAGAAATGTTCAGCTCACGCTGGGCGGCTGACGCATGTGGCTGCACTGCCCTTTGTGGCTAGCAACCGTTCAGTAACTGTAAAGCATCGACGTTTCTGCTTTTCGAGTCGACAGCGAATAACGTGCAGACGACTCGCGTGTGACACCACTTACGGCTTGAACATCGGTAGCGTTTCGAGTTTCTGCTTCTCCTCTTCCGAGTCGTCTCGGGCGATCATGAGCGTGTGTCCATAGCCACACGCTACAGCGTAGATGTAGTGCTTCGCCAGCGTTTTCACTTCCTCGGGCCGAGTCGACGACTTCGGCTTGTTGTCACCATAACCCTGAAAGGCATTAATGCTTTTAGTGGTGACATTTCACGACAGCCCCGCTTGGTCATGAGTGACAATCACTCAGGAAGAGTCACATCACAAGGAAATCATGGAAAGTTTTTGCATTCAACCCTATAATACCAAGAGTAGACTAAATAGAGCAACTGTTAGTTGTTTACTTCACTACAATGAGCAACCATCACTCCTAAAGAAAAGAGGGCTTACCAGCTCTCCATACGTTGGACTGGGTCCCCAGCTAACAACGCTTTCATCTGCAGCCACCACAATGCTTCGGTTGCTGTAAAAGTGAATGAGCAATGTAATTAAGGTGCAGTAACAATTTATTGATGCCATAAAACACAACTTTAACAGTGTAAGGGAAGATATACATTTAATATGTGCCAATAGCAAATTCTCACAAACTTGTTACCGGTTAGCTTCCGTCCACACAGCTAATAGCTATATGTAAGTGACACCAACTAGATACATATAGCAAATAATGACAGTTCCCACACTCGCAGTCACACTCGACTCGTGACTTGGCGACAGCAGGGTGCATCCTCGTAGCAGTAAAACAATAGACCAACCTGCATCCCACACTGCGAATGGTCCAGCCACTGAGATCCTGAACGGGTTTCGGATACATTATCGCCTCACCAGTTGCTTTCGTTTGACCCCAACAATACAGGGCACCTGTAAGTGTAATGCAAAAATAGTGGTATTTTAACCTTTAAACTTTTGAGAATAATTAACTGTGCTGCGGGTGAAATATCATTGCAGAAAAGAATAACAGGACCTAGCAAGTACCACATGAAAACGTCGCTTAGCGACTCTTACCAAGCTCACTGACGGCCATGGTATAGGCGGAACCGGCGAATATCCTACACGCGCCACGCTTTGGACCATCAAAGAACTTCACCATTCTCGGAACCATCTCGTCCTTCTGCTCGGCGTGACCGAGGCGTCCATATCCGCCGAAGCCCCACGTGTACACACGCTTCTTGTTGTCCAGTGCCACCTTAAATTAGTAGGAGAAACGACAGCATTACATCAACTATTCACTTACACTGTAAGTCTTACACGCATACATCAATAGGGGAAGTTGTTCAATGTTATGTAATGCCAATTGAAATTACTGAATTAGTAGAAGAGAAACGACAGCATTACATCTACTATTCCCTTACACGCATACATCACTAGGGGAAGTTGTTCAATATTGTGTAATGCCAATTGAAATTACTGAATTAGTAGAAGAGAAACGACAGCATTACATCTAGTATTCGCCCACACGCATACATCACTAGGGGAAGTTGTTCAATGTTATGTAATGCTAATTGAAATTAGCACGAGAGAAACGACAGCACTACACGACAATTCGCCTACACGCATACATCAATAATAGAAATTAGCAATGGATTGATTCACATAATCGCATAATTTATGTAATTTCTTCAAAATCAGACCCTGTCTTGAATGGCATTTTTACCCACATGCATTCAATATTGACAAATGATTTTCAATCATCAATCTTCAATGATTCTCAGTGTAATTTTTGCAGTAATTATCACAGACACCTGTTCACATACCGCTGACAGCGACCAGTCACTAACGATTCGAATATTAGCAGCAGACTTGGTACCCTAACCAACAAACCGACTCTCATCCAACGCCCATTTCCCCATTTTTATCCTCACAGATACAGGAAACAGTCAATCCGGTGCAACTCACACTGTGATTGTTTCCACAGGCAACATCTGTGATAAAGACGTCCATTACGGGCTGTATGCGATTATCTCGATCTTTCTCGATGAATAGCGCCACCTGGCGTGGTACTGTCTCACAGTAGTATGCCAATTTGTTGCTTGTGACGAAATACTTACCATCTGTGTTGTGGCCTGCAGCAGAAATCGTCAATATTTACAGTTAGATGTGCTAAAACTGCACAGGCTGGTATTATAAACAAAAATATAAATATAAGTTCTATATACGAATATACTAAAATTCCACAACATAATTTACATAAAGAGTAATTTATTTTATTTTACACATACGTACAAACCCACGCCCACACCCACACGCTCGTACACGCTCGTACACGCCAACATACATGTATATATATATATATATATATACATTTTTTTATATAGCTATAAAAATACCGCATTGAAATTTGTCGAGGTCATGTCACGTGCCAGGAAATTAAACTCAATGTTGCCCGCTAAGCAGTGCTGCCACCTAGCATAAACATTGTTTTTCGTTAACCATGGCCACCACAATGTGCGGAAAAAGGGTTGAACCACTGAACGAGACCATGATAGCAGATCTGGTAAAATTTATGGAAAATAAAATACCGAGAATATGATAAAAAAAACATTTCACGAGGCAATACTTTACCAGAATATCATACAGTTTAGCCCATCATTTTGGATTGTGTTTATGAATGGATAAAAATTAGAGATGAAGCATGCACACACCTAACTGTCCATACTCTGGTGATCCCAGTGTGTAGAGATTTCCATTAAGATCCACTATCACTGAGAACTCGGCCCCACACGCTATCTTAACAATTGGTGGTCCCTTGCGATGAATCTAAAAGTATATTCAATGAAACCATGCTAACATTCTATAACACTCACCTATGTTAACTAGATACCACAAGTTTTACACATTTACAATAATCACACAAATTTAATATGTATACTTATCTGTCTCTCTCTCTCTCTCTCTCTCTCTCTCTCTCTCCATGTCTGCGTGCGTGCATGCATGCGTGTGTGCATATATGCGCACATGCACAATAAACCAAACAATGTCACAATAAACGTCTAGTCATAGAGTAATTGAGTGATACAAACTCATGCAGAAAAAATCAACCCATTTAACATACTGCTTCAAGAGGTAACCACTCACAAATATTGAACAAATGCAAAGTAGTCCTATTGTAAATATAATAAGCTATCAAGCCAGTTGTAAGTGCAAGAACACATTCGACAGCGAATAATCCACGGGCTAAGTCGTACCTTTTTTGGAATCAGCACAGCTGGTTGCTGGTTCCCTATACCAAGCTGGCCCATTTTGTTTTCGCCCATGCCATATACTTCGCCACGATCTGCAAATGAACATGATAAAAACGTATTTAACATGAAGTCAATCGGCTGCATGTGGCATACTATTTTCTTTAATCATGAGTAGAATTGTGTGAAACAGTGAAAATAATATAAGGAAACCGTGGGAAAATGCTAATTGTTCGCTAATTGCGCGCAAATTAAAACTGGTGCAAAACACAGTTGCGCATGCATTTCAATACCACAATTCCTGCAAGTCACCCTTTTTCTTAAAACAAGAGCCGCAGAGCCACTGGGCTCATCTGAGGTCTGTTGCTACGGTTATAAATGTAACATTTCAGTCGTGGGTAGTGACACCTTTGTTAGGCGCAGATATGCAGATACGCAGTTGCATACACATCATTTTAGCAAACTTTATTTTATTGCAGAGAGAGAAGAAGAGAGAGAGGGGGGCAAGCGAGAGAAAGAGAGAGGGAGAGAGAGAGAGAGCGGGCAAGAGAGAGGAAGAGAGAGAGGGGGGCGAGCGAGAGAAAGAGAGAGAGAGAGAGCGGGCGAGAGGAGAGAGAGGGAGAGAGTCAGTCAGACTAAATTGTTTATAAACAAATAACACCCACGCGGCGCGCTACTGTACGAGTTACGTCATCGATTGAAATGTACATTCCGATTTCGCCACGAGGCGTGCAAACTTTTGACGAAGATGGCGGGCAGAGGTAAGGCAGACGCACGTATAACGTACAGATTTCTTCAATGTCGGGGAGGATCAACACATTTCGACTGACCGTCAATCATCGGGCTCTGCAGCGTCCACAAGCCAGCATGCTCCACCATATCCCAACATTGCACACTACTGTAACGTCGATGGAGAGAGCCATGCCAAGGACAGTACAAAACTGGCAAATTTTCATTGGTAGGTTTGACGATTCATTTCTGCAATTACTTATCTCAAGATTGGTTAAACTGAAGTTAAGAAAGTAATTCTTTCTGCACTTATGAGCGCAATATACATTTGACCTATCCTGCCGGGACATTCTTCCCACTCTGTTCCGATAGATGGCGTGCATACTGACTAGGTGCAGGTAATAGATAATCCGAACTAGTTGCTACCTTCGTTTAGCCCATGCTGTGATACTATCAGCCACCCACCTGCGAGGTAGGACTATTTATAGTTGGCCTTAATCAAAAACAGACGTTTGCATAAGTGTTATTATCTCCGCCCAACGGAGTTGGAGGAGGTTATGTTTTCGCTCTCGTGTGTTCGCGTTAGACTGGTACTCGCTCCCACCTCGATTCCCCCATCGAGTAACTAAGCCGAGAGGTGGGACCGGGTACCAGTCAATTTTTCGTTGTGTTCGTGTGTTCGCGCAATCGATATTAGCCAGCCAGCCAGCCAGCCAGCGCAGCGAGCCAGCTCCTAACACATATGCACTCCGTCAGTGCACTCTGCCTAGCTAAGTCACTCATAGATAAGTGTAAGGCTGGATTGGTAGGTCCATTAATATTATCAGTAGTGTCATAATATAGATAATGTTCTACTATAGTGTTACTTTAGTTGGCGGTGGTATGCACTCTGTAGTGCCTCTAGTTGACAATGTATTCCCAACGTACAGAATCTCATATAGAGAATGAAGTTCATATATGATTTAAGGTGCGTAAACGTTGTTCAAGTAAGTTTTGCATGCAGAAATTTAAGTCTTCCACGATCACACAAGTACCATCAAACACAGTTCAGTCCTTTGTTAACAGTCAACAAATCCATGTTTAACCCTCCTCTTAAGGGCCAAAAGGTTATCAGACACTTACTCTTCGCACGTCACACTCTTCGTGCTTCGCACGTCAGTGGAAAGCACATTTCATGGTCCTTTCAAAAAAGTGATAAAAATGGTAGGTCAGCGCTGAAACAAAAAAAGTTTTTCACTCTGTCCATTAGGCCATGTCCTCAGAAAATGTCTGATATCTAACCTTTCCCCCACTGCCCTTTGACCTGTGATCTCCAATTTCGCACTGGTGATGGGTTTCCTGCCAATCACACTATAACAGAATATTACCGAATATTAGAACCGAAGATTAGAATTTACACCGAATATTAACAGGATAGGTTGAGCCGTTCATATTTGTGACGCAATTCCGTATTTCCTCCTATACCTTAAGTTAAGGGGGAAATATTCCCCCTCCGTTGACACATCTTGACCTTTGACCATTGACCCCCAAATTGGTCATCCCGAGTCCTTTTCACGATCCCCCCCCCCCGATGTCCCGAATATCGTGACCGTACGTCGAGCGGTTAAGATTTGTGCCCAACTGTTGACGGACACACAGACACACGGATCACGAACGGACGCACATGCGATTCTACAAGCTGCATCTGACTTCGTCACATGAGCTAAAAAACCACAACCTGGATGGAAGACACATGAATGTTAATTAAGCAAGTATACATTCACAGAAACTAACCATTCGCTAATGCCCCCAAGACATACCTGTGAGGCATAGCGTGTGATTTCTTCCACAGGCTGCATCGACAACGTTAATTTCTGCCAGGGCTTCGATGCGTTGTGGTACGTCGACTCGATTAGCGTGGCCATGCCCAAGCTGCCCCTTGTCATTTCGACCTGACGCGTAATATCAAATACACATGCTCTGATGAGATATCCATCGTATGCGCTACCACTTGACTAGAGACAGTTGACAGATGTAGCAAAATTTGCATTGAGCACAGTAAAATACATATTACATTACATTTGACTACATAGTCCACTCACTGATGGGAAAAGGAATTGATCAGTATAATTATCATAAGAGCAATCTAAAATGTGCACTCACCCCAGCTCATAGCCACGCCATCCGTTGTTATGACAACACTGTGGCAGGCTGCATTACCAGACACAACCGTTCTCACTTGGACACCTTCCAAACCACTCAGTCGATGTGGTGCCCACAGGTTTCTGCCCTTTGCTCCTTTTGCTAAAATACAAAATTGCAAGAAACTGTACACATAACTGTACACCGTAACATCAGGCACCAGACATGCAACATGTATCAATAACACCTTAGAAGTATCCGGTGAGCACTGTATGACAGATATCTGACAGAATGCATCTACATACGAAACGACCTACCATTTTTTGGCAACTCCCGTCGTCCAATGAGGTCCCAGTTTGTGCCACCACAGTAAAGAACTGATCCACGGATTTTGGGTCCACCCATCACCTAAAATTGGAAAGCCACCAAAAAAATTAGACATACGATATTATAGTTAATCACAACACACAGAGTGTGTGAGTGTTTCCTCTAAAGGGTGGGAAACTGTATAGCTGACTAATAGGAGGCACATTTAAGCTTTAAAGGCATGTTGGAATCGGCATGCGGTAAAGGACTGGGAAGAACCCTGATACTGATAGTATTTTTTATATTATATTATA